GGTCTATCCAGGCTTTTGGTATTTAAGATAGCTGTGCTTTTATTGAATTAAACATGATCATTGTTTAAAATACAGATGGTGGTTTTTCCAGGTCTTATGCTGACACTGAAATAAACAAAATAGATGATGCGAGATTGATTAAAACAGCTTTGAGTACAAAGTCTTGGTTAAAATTCGTATGGCGCACATAGTCTCTGAAAGTATCCTACTGTTAGTTGGTTTGACCGGTTACAAACTGAGCAAACGGAAATTGGTGAATGAGTGCGATTACATGAGTTTTTGATATCACCATTTTAACCAACGTCACCAACGTGCAAGCCCCATTTACAACCTCTTCCTCCAAGTCATAATTTTAATCCGAAAACCACATCATATTATATAATAATAATTTATTCTCAAATAACAGATTGTTACATGAGGCATGCCGGTTTACAGGCAAGATCGAATTGTTAAAGAAGTTACAATTTTCACTGTTGAAGATTACTCAGCTTGGTTGATATTTCATAAGATATGAATGTAAACGGATTTCGTAAGTAACATGTCAATATCACACTTGGCGCACTTTATGGAGGTAGCGTTGCAACATACAACTGATGGTCGATAATAGATACATGCGAAGTTGGGGGCTTTTAGAAGTTTCGAACTTATATCTATCGTGAGAACGAAACACTGGGCATGAGGCCAAATGCTGAACAAAGTGATATTTTCGATGGCAAAGCGTTCCAGTAGATTTGAAAGACGAAAACATGGAGGAGAGTTGCAACGTCAAAACTTGAAGAAGGCCTCGAAGCTTTGAGATATAGTTTATTAGAATTTCGATAACAATCTGCTGTAAAATTTCAAGGTTTTGCATTTCAGTAATTAACAAATACATAAATTATAATGGTCAAAATCGAGCATTTTTTGGCCTTGTTTTCTTGCCTTGCTTACATTGAATCAAGTGAGGACAAAGTAAACAGTTTGGGTCCGAAAACGATGAATACGGGGAATATTATGTGTTTTTTCCGCGATGAACACTTCAATAACACTGTCGAACTGTGATGTTTGATGATGAACCAGAGCCCTAGATTTTAAAAACAATAGTTTGTTAGAATTTGGCTATGCAAACTGAATGATTGTTGTACCTGATATTTAAGAAACACTACACTAAGCGGTGACTAATAGTTTTTCCAATACATTGCTGATCACCAAGGCTGATTTAGGAAGTTTATATTGTGTGTGCCATCTATAGTCAATATGGAAAGCCATATTTAATTCACTGGCTTGACTGCAACTTATGCAATGAACGTACGAGTATACGGTCTTTATAAAAACTGTAGAAAAAGCCCCAAACTTAAACACCGCTCATTTTAGCTATCACCAACAAAGTGAATTTCCGTTGATATTCTGTGTTGAACTCACATATGTGTGGTTTCTTAGCTACTCTTTATCTTCTGTAGACTTAATTCGTTTTCAGTGACGAATTGCTGAGCGATAATCAGGGTTTAGTCCTTCACAATAATTAGTAATAGTAATCTTTTGTCCTATAACAGTGGGCTACATGAGGCATGTTAGTTTACAGGTGATATCAAATTGTTACAAATGATACAGACTTCAATGAAGTAGGTTGCTCTGTCATAATATTAAAGGGAATAACATTTCTCACAAATGAATGTGAATAATTTTAGTAGGACTCATGTTGACAATATAAGAGTTGACGCACTTCATGGAGGCTTCCTTGCGACGTCCAACTGTTGGCCGCGAACAAATACGCATGCAGTTGAGCTTCTAGAGACCACACTCTTACATCCTTCTGAAACATCTGAGGCGATAATTCTGATACAAGACGAAGCCATCAGTTCCGTATATGTTTACGGTGACATATCTAGAGAGGGTTGAAAAGTGGGTAAGAAAAAGGAAGAACGAGAAGTAGGACAGACAATCTTTATGACTGGTGAAGTTGAGTCACTTGTGATGGAATAATTGAGGTATGGTTACTTTGTCATATTCTTATTTGATAACGTAGTTTTTAAGCACCCTAATAGGTTAGAGAAATCAATCGAAAATGTGGTAATGAATGGGCAAAAAGTGTATAAAGGAAGGTGCTTAAAAATAAGCTGAAATTACTGGGTTATGTGTAGTTAAAAATGTAGTGATAAAAACTGTATTCTGATACGCAAATGGCTATCTCCCTTTTCTCATCAAAGCTATTCCAACTCGTTTTCATTTTTATAGATTTATAGAATCATGAGATTGCTTCGTTTTAGCGAATTGTCCAGTTTTTCTTAGAAAAGGATTTTTCGGAAGGAAGTGAGATCAACTCAAGGTTACAAGCATAGGTTAAAGAGGTATTTTGCACAGTCAAAACCATTGGTTAGTTAGGACCCAATAGACCATAAGGAGCCGTAATTTAACGTAATGTCCTGCCCTACAAACATGGGTAGATTGAAGCTATCTCCTCACAACCATGCTTTCTGATCCGCTTGCCGGCTGAGTGTGGGATATTCTCATAGGCCTCACGAAGGAAAAACCCTTTTGACCATTTTGATTTGTCAGCGAAACACAATAAACAGAATATTACTGATGTGAACAGCGAAACAAGAAGCTTTAACAAACTACGGAAGCTATTTTGGGGGACGTTAATTCATTTAATTCAAAGCTTGTAAAACTGTAACATTTACTTTTGTCTCTTGTCTATTCGTTTGATGTATGATTCACTGCCATAGCATTTTCTGTTCCAAAGCTATTGTAGTTTAGACGTAACCTTTTGTACTCTATTTTCTACTCTAATCCTCCAGTTTTGGACATAATTGTATTTTCCGAATTATTTTACGTTGTGACCAAGTTAGTCATCTATTTATTCATGTATCTTTTTAAGCTAATCTGAATTCGGAATTCGAATACTGGATCGAGACTAGTGTTCCAGTTGTCTTATCTTCTCTCTCGTGCTTGTCAGTCAATCAGGGATATGATAGTTTACGTTTCTTTACCCCCACTTCGAACTCACGCATACTAGCTTCAAGGTTAAGCCAGTCAGCCTGTCGCGTCAAGGTCTTAATCTACATTAGACGGGTTGTACTCGGTATGAAAGTGGGTAGACAGATCGAGGACGTAACGATAACAATGACTAAATGAATACGAAACATCTAAATATATCGTAGGCTAACACTGGAATGAATTAAAAATAACTGCATCTACAGATTAATAACATTTGGAAAATATCCATGTTCAAAACCGTAAAAAAATCTACAATTGTTTATTTGCAAAATAGCACGACTAAATGTAAGATCTACGCATCTATGTTACAAAGTTGTGTCAAAATATTGAAGTAGCACAAAGCCGTCAAATTGTGGTGACAGGTAAGGTCTCGCCTCCAGAAGAATAACTGTAACCGAGAGAAAGAAATCAGTTAAAACGAACTTCGTATTGTGAACGATGATTGGCAAGAAGAACGTATTGCCAAAGAAGTTAGCTTACAATTCAAATAAAGTGTTTGACGTTTGCTACTAGATGTGCGGATTTAGTTGCCACAGTATTCTAAGTGTTGTTCTGGCTAAAACGTGATGCCTTATCAAAGAAAGAGCTTCAACATCCCTACTAAGTGAGTAAATTTCTTTTCCTTTCAAATGTTTTCATATTCACAAGTTTAATCTTTGCTTTATCGCTGATCCACTGAAATCGATTTGAAAGAATTGATAAGCTACAACTTCGCTTCCTCTACAAACGCCTGAAACTTTAATTTTTCTCAAAAATCGAAATGAACCCACACGAAAAGACATTTTAGAGAAGCTCTCCATGGTACTACCAGTGGTAAATATATTTTCGTTTCGGTGGTAAGCGTGGAGTATACCATAAGCAAAGATGGATAGTGGCTAGCAGTGGAATTCATGACACACTTTTTATCCTATTTTAAACTCGTCAGTCAGGTGTATCTGCATCTCAGAGTTGATATTCATTATAGAATTCTAACCCAGTTTCGTTTGGGTCGAACACCATCGCATTATCCACATAGCTACTGAGTCATGATAGCCACTTACTCTCGCACTGGGGTGAATTTTCAACTCACTTGACGTTGTTTACTTGAATCCTCCTACTGAAGGTTTAGGTGAACAATACCAAGTGAACGCAAAGTATATAGCCTAAAGACTTCGACGAATTAGGAATTGAAGGTGTGGCGGACTAAACATATCAATACCAAAATAGTGATGAACTCATTGTTAAAAGTATAGTAACAAATAATCACACAAAGAAATATAAATACATGTAAAAATTGTCAGTTAGAAGTGTGTTTAGATTTTCGGTCATAAAATACAGTATTGTAAGACGCACTCAATAATCCCAAAATACAATATGCGTGATCCAAGAGAGCTTGTACCTCGAAAAATTGAGTTATAAGGATGTAGATGTGATCTGTTAACGTAGGTGGACATTATATTAGGGATCTACTAATATGTTGGCTAATCAGGTTATGACAAGTAGTGTTTGTAGATTGCAGTGAATTTATGACCAATGATTAGAGCCATGTAAGCATGGAAAAACGGTGACGGAAGGCAAATGTAGATTTAGCTAAAAAATTTTAAGTCATTGACACTGATTGCACGAAAGAGGTGAAGTTATGAAAAATGTGAAAAATAACAAACACGATTTACAAAACAACTCCTTAAGGAGTTATCAATTGTTAACAATATCCACAGAAAGGCAATTAGGAGACGACAGGGGCATATAAGTGACTTATCACGCTATAAGTTAAAATCAAGATATACTTTGGTGTTCTATCTTTGTGGATGATGTTAATTTCTGATTAGGTTTCCAGCCTTGAAACCTGTTTTTAATTCCGAACACTAATTCTTAACCTTCAGTTTCAGTTTGGAAAGGACAGGAGGCTTGATAGCCTGTGTTAGTCCTGGCACCAACCTTATTTCAGTATAACTTAACTAAGTTCCATGAATATGGTTATTTTAAAAAGCTTCATGACATTCTATCAATACTAACACACAGATGTTTTGCTGAGCCAATGGAGCGTACTTGGAGGACTTCAATCTCGTGGCCTTGGAGCGTAATATAAAATGGTTGGCTGTGGTGGTAGTTTTGTTTTATTCCATCAAGGTTTGCGATATACTCATAAGTCCTGACTTACAAAACAGTCTTTTTAAACATTTATAAGACTTATGCGTCATCATTCATCTACAAGTGACGACAAAAATGCTAGTCACAGGGGCCCTGTAGGTTTTCGGTCATCAAGAAAACCGATTCACGACAAACTGGAAATTCTTTCACTATCACAAGTTCCACCGGAATTTCATGAAGTTGGGATTTTATCAGGTTATCGTAAGCCATCAGCGTCACTTGCATTGGGTATCTTGTCTGTTTTTCAAATACACAATGAAACCTTGAATATATGGACGCAAATCATACCAACCATTTATTTTGTTGTCGAACTAGTCCTGAATTTTTTCCACGTTGGCGAACGTTTTCTTCTTATATATCTTATTACTGCCGTCACATACCTGTTCACAAGTTCTTGCGCCCACACATTTAGTTGTTTGTCCCCTAGAGCTCGGCACATATGTTTCTTTCTTGACTATATTGGAATATCACTTTATTCTTGTGGCTCCACTGTTTGCTACTATGCGTTCGCTCTGCCAGTCGGCTTGTTGCGTCTTTCACCTATCTCTGGTCTTAATCTTAGTGATATATTCTTGTTTATTTCAGCATTGTTTTGTATCTGTGGTACATACTTATCATGTAAGACTAGGTTTTGGAAGCCTTCAATTTTTCGTAACATCATTAGGATGGGAGCATTCGGAATTATTTTGTTTTACGTCGGGACTCCGATTCTGTGGCGTTCATATACCTGTAAGTACATGGCAAGTGAATATGAGTCTTCTGAATGCAGCTCACTTTATTATTGGAACTTGCATTTCATGTCAATGCTTTCTGCAGGATTTTTGTTTGTCTCACACTTTCCTGAAAGGATTTTTCCTGGAAGGTTCGATGTTTTCGGTCATAGTCATCAAATATTTCACATTTTCGGTGCCTTGGGTTCTATTACACAATATTATGCACTTAGGATTGACCTCCAGGAACGTAACGCCAAATTAAGACAAATGTCGCATGCACCTTCAATTCCTCTGTCTCTGTTTTGTCTCGGTTTGGTAGTATTTTGTAATTTTATTATTTTTCTAAAGTTTTACAAACGTCTTGGTACCATCACAGGACGCAAAAGATTGTAATTATCTTTATGTAGCTGCTTTGTGCTATACTTTTCAGACCTCTGTATCTCAATTTAGCTTTTTCATCGTTTGCCATATTTTCATTCTTGACCGATTTGTTTGATTCTAAGGGATTCATTGTTCTCCAGCACATAAACGTTCTGCAAGTCCTGCTTTTTACACTTGTCACTTGAACTATTGCCTTTTTGGATTAAAATAGCTTATTTCATCCATCAAGCCACATGTACATTGCAAATGATAATTATTTTCAGATAGACTTCCTGTTTTCAATAATTTTTCGGTTGGACGTAAGATATTGTTTTAATATATGAATGTTGATGCTGCAAGTCTTGATGTAATGACAGTTGGCGCAGCTCAAACATTTTTTTCGCTGTTTCTCTTGGCCCAACTTAATTTAGCTGGTCCTACCAAACAGGCCATCTTAAGTTACCATACCATTTCCTAACTAAATATGCGAATAGGCTCGAATTTCTTATTTACATCTGACGTTTTTATTGGCGATGTTGTCTAGAAAGACTGTGAAAGCTTTGCAATTAAACCCCACCACTTAAAATAATCAAATCAGTCAAAGTTTAAAGCAAATTCACTTTGTTTTAGCGCAATAATTCGACAGAACATCCTTAGCGTTTCGCAGGTGAATTATTATAGATGTAAATTGTTGATTATCTCGTGGATGTTACTAAGCATTATCATCGCTGTTATGCTTGTTGTTTACTTAATACACAACAGATTGGTATTATAAGATGTTTTACTCACTGGATGTCATTAGGTTGTTCGCTTAGAATATGAAGTTTTATAAACCAATTGCTTAAAATCGCATAACTCAGTTCTCTTCAAAGAATTGAGTCAAAGTCTATATGTGTTTAAATAAAATAATAAATAAAAAAGTCTATTTATTGATGCCCAGTTATTGAAATCATCATGAAACTTCCATTTGTTGCAAACTTCTCTAAACATTGTATCATACATGCACATATCTCATCAAAAATCGTGCTTCTAGTTTACAACAAAATCACTGCTATTTTTAGCCTTAATTCCTATTGTTGTAGTAAGTTTTTAGTCAGCCATGAGAAAATCAGAAAACATCGTGTTTCTGATTAGCGAACTAGCACTTTTTGACTAGAATATTCAACAACCAAGCCAACAAACTTACCTCAATATTTCCTCGACTAAGTGAGAGAAATTGGTCAGCATTTTGCTACATATGGCATAGTTTGATTAGTTATATATATTTATAATCTTACGGAATTCCATGCTATGTGGATATTTAATGACTAAGCACCTCCTTAGCATTTTTATATATTTCTTGAGTTTTTCACTAAAAATAAGGAACCTCTAAGCCGAGTGTATAGGTCTCCATTTGACAAATGAATTACATCTAAAGCTTATGTTGTCTGAGTTTCTGATGAATTTGTAGGATAGTTTTGGCGGGACCAAACTGCGCGTTTCATCTAGTAAATGCCCATTTTTTGCGATTGGTAAAGATGCAGCAACTGAAATATAATGTGAAAATCTCACACAAATTAAAAAAAACTAGTTGGTAAAAATCCTTGCACAGGGGCCATGCTAATCTTCTCTGTATCGTTCCAATTTTAGTATATGTACCGCCGAAGCGAGTTCAACTGGCCTTCAGCCACACTTCAGTTAACCACGATCCCCAGTCGTCCTGAATGGCAAATTGAGGTAAGTCCTCCAACTCTCTACGAGGTTGAAAAAGCTATAGGAAATCTAAAGCGAGGGAGAGCCGCAGGCCCTGACAAGTTTACCCCTGAGATTTTTAAGGATGGTGGTCCAGTACTAGCAACGAGATTGACTGAGGTCTTAGGTAGAATCTGGGAACTGGACGTAATTCCATCTGACTGGTCCCAATCACTGATTGTGCCAGTCTATAAGAAAGGACAAAAGTCCTCCTGTGACAATCACAGAGGAATCAGTTTGACGAATATAGTGTCTAAAATATTGGCTTCAATAATACTTGGACGCCTAACCAAAGCTCGTGAAGAGCAAACTAGATAAAACCAGTCTGGTTTTCGACCTGGACGTGGTTGCATAGACCAGATATTCACCCTACGTCAGGTTCTAGAACATAGACACAAATTCAGACGTCCCACAATAGTAGTATTTCTTGACCTTAAGGCGGCATTTGACTCCGTTGATCGTGAGGTTCTATGGCAGTGTTTGTTGTTGAAAGGAGTACCAAAGAAGTGCATTAACCTCATAAAGGCTCTCTACTCGAACATAGCTGGTCGAGTTAGAGCCTATGGCGAACTGTCATCAGAATTGGTTACCTCAAGTGGTGTTCGTCAGGGCTGTCCACTCTCCCCATTCTTGTTTAACTCTGTCGTTGACATGCTTTTAGAGGTATCACTTTCATCATCTCAATCTCCTGGAGTTGAACTTTTACCAGGAGATTCACTTGTTGACTTAGAATACGCCGACGACATAGTTTTATTCGGTGAAGACTCTGACAAAATGCAGAGTCTTCTGACCACTATTAGCAACAATGCAGGCATGTTCGGGATGCGATTCTCTCCCTCGAAGTGCAAAATGTTACTTCAGGATTAGGTTGCATCGACACCTGAACTAATGATAGGGAGTGAAGTAGTTGAGCGTGTTGACAGCTTCACTTATCTTGGGAGTCTCATCAGCCCTTGTGGTCTAGTGTGTTACGAAATTGCAGCACGGATACAGAAGGCTCGTCTAGCTTTTGCCAACTTGCGTCATTTATGGCGTAGGCGAGATATCCGTCTAGCAACCAAAGGACGGGTTTACTGTGCAGCAGTTCGTTTCGTCCTACTTTAGAAAGTGAAACATGGCAGATGAGAGTAGAGGATATTCGTAGGCTACTAGTGTTCGATCATAGGTATCTTCGACGCATTGCTCGTATATCCTGGAACCACCGGGTAAGTAATGCAGATGTTAGGAAACGGGTACTAGGTAAGGATGGCAAATCGATTGATGAAGTACTGAAACTTCACCAGTTGAGATGGCTGGGACATTTGTTACGTATGCCCAACCACCGACGTGCAATGCTTTATGGTGTAGGAGCAGGTTGGAAGAAAGCTAGGGGTGGCCAGACCAAAACGTGGCATAAATCCATTAAGTCACTGACAAGTGGACTGGGCCATGTTGGTAGGTGTAGACTACCTGTTTGGGATTCGCGAGATGATAGCAACCGATGGTTAGAGACCTTGAATGACATGGCTCAAAATCGTTTGCAATGGCGAAGGTGCATCCACTCTTTGTGTTCTACCAAATTCTAATCTGAATTCTTCATGTCTGTATCCTTTTTCTCTTTCCAAATTTATTTCATTGTATTATACTCTTTGAATAACATCTTCAAACCCTAATCTTTCCTATTACTGCTTATACTCTTACTACTTCTTCCATTATGGGATTTGAATCGACAACTTCATCTCTGTGTTAATGTTGTATGGCAACTCGAACTGATGTACGTACGTACGAAGTTCTACGTTGAAACTGACTGACTGACTGATAAAAATCCATTTTAATATCTTTTGCCAAGTCAATCTTTCAAAGCGTAACTTTAAATATAATTGCACTCAATAAATAAAGGCTGAGCTATCTATCTTCAGTTTTGAAAATATTCAGTGGTCACTGATTTTGCTAATAGATGTTAGTTTCCAGTAATTTGACCACTGTTAAACATTTTGGCGTATTATGATGTACAGTTTTTTTCTCTATTTTTCTGCAGTCGATTATTATTAAGTAAAATCTATTGTGCACACTTTGATAAAAGGAAAGAATATATAGGTGGGGTTATTTATTTATTTAAACGCATAAATATTGGTACAAGGAAGCACCAGATAAATATGCGCCTCACAAATCTCATTCGATTTGTGTGAGGGCTGTGATACTGCCCAGGTGCCCAGACTGAAGCAGGTGGTTTTCTTAGGGGGCCACACCCGGAGCCTTTGACCTGAATGTCTGATCCACAAGGCAGTGGAGCATTGTGAGGAGATGCAGTCCCATGGTAGCCGTTGACTAATGACAGGTTCATCCGCCATTCGTTCCATCAGGATACTGGAGCCCATGTGCACCATTGATTTGGAATCAGGGTTTTCCAACTCCCCTAGGTGGACCCTCCGTGTCCACCAACCCGGTTAAAGTGCCGGACATTCGCTTTTCGTCCTCTCACTTTCGTAAACAACACCGGTGCCACGAGAAGGCAGTGAGTAGGACTTCCCTGGCAGAGGCTATATATTCGCTGGCCATATGAGAGTATTTTGAGAGGGAGAGGTGACTCTCCCCACTCTCGTCCGTACCAGGGCATTTGGGGGCATAGGTGGGGTCCTGACTACATATATTTTAGTCAATTGTAATGATACAGTTGAACCCTTTTCTTACATTATTTTCAGTCATAATTATTTTACTCCATACTTTTCTGATTTGCTTGCAGTTTTCTATGTAACGCTTTAGTTGTCACCCTTTTCACATGATTTCCTCTCCTGATGGTCGCGTTGTCGTTTGATACAATGTGATGAAAGCTATTGAAACATTTATACCAGATCCTTTACTATATCTTAAAATGGTTACAAACATTCATAATTTGATATATCTACGCAATGAAGCTTCACGTTTTTAATTCTGAACTAGGTGCCATCGTAAGTGTATAATATGAGCTGCTAGTCGTTCTCCTAAAAATGCCCCGTACTGCCATAAGTTGTCCCGTTTGCAACCTATCACCGATATATCTGTAGTTAGTTTGAAACAATTTTCTCTCATTAAACAAAAAGAGAAAACAAGTGTCGTATTCTTAACGTCTCGAGTTATATCTGACATTGCTGTATTCTACCGGGGACTTTTGTCTTCTCATGAAACATGAGGTGTACTACGTGTGTTTACGACTATCGTAATCTTCGTTGAAGGTGGATTGTATTAAGTATTCCTTATAAGTATCTTTCCTCAATGATTTCATTTATTTATTTGCGAGAGGGCTGTGATACTGCCCGGGTGCCCAAACCGAAGCAGGATTTTTCTTTTTTTTCTTTCTTTTATATATACGCATCTTCACATTTAATTGTTAATAATACACACTTTTTCAACACAACTAGTGCTCTAGCTCCTTAATATTCTCAAGCAAATGCATAGCGATACTGAGAGTTAGCGCGCTTATAAATACACAGTTAACGGGTCATCACGTGGAATCAAGGCGAGGAAATAATATTAACAAGATATCGACTTATCTGTACAAGTAGTCTATATCCTGATACCTATATTTAATTTCTACCATAAGGCTAGTTGATTAGTCTTTTCTGACACAATGAATTCAATCATTGTATGCTATTATCTGAAGTGGTTAGGTTTGATATCGTGTTATTTTTTTAAATGATATCTAGTAAAAATAATTTTTCTATTGAATCTTGAATTTGGCTTTTTCAACATTGTAATCCATCACTTTTCACTTCATTCCTTTGTGTAGTAATTATCTAATTCATCATGAGCAGTAAATAATTCTCTCTAAATTTCAATAAAACCATCCTTCCCTATTACTTTTAGCTAGGCATAAATTTTCACGCGATTACGTATAAACGTTGATTGTTGTACATTTTAAAATCGTATGACAACTTAAAGAAGATAATAGCGTAAAAAAGCTAATGTGATTGAAATTTCTTGTTTCCATATTTATTTTCTGTTTGAACAAGAGAAAGACATGGCGTGCAGTTTCCAGTAACAATACCTGAAATTACATTATTTAGTTCGCTATTGTTATTATTTTATTTGGGAAATTATATATATATATATATATATATATATATATATATATATCAATATTGTAATGTTAAACTTCTGTAGATTAGTGGCTGATGTATCAACTGTGTTCAAATGAATATTATTATCAGTGTTGTCCAACAAAGTTCTTATTATTACTAAGTTTTATGATGCTTTGGCTAACCTGGTCAAGACATTGTGATTTTATTGAGTTTTATCATACTCTCAAACTTAATTGCCTCCTAAGTTCACTTGTATCTTCCCATTGTTGTTTAGGACTGCAATTGATCAGTCTCTTGTGGTATATGTTCATCCTGCACGGATTACCTCGATATCGCCTTAAGTCACAAGCTTTATAAACAAAGATGGATGGTGGCCTGGAAGAAACGCGCGTCCTGAATTCAACTGCTAGCTACCATCCATCTTTTCTTAATTCATTTCTGTCTAAATATATAAGAATTGTTAACTTTTAAACTGCACATGTGGCATGTAGCCTTGTACATAATTGTTTAGGAGGTTGGGGGGCATATAATATTTCAGTTAGTTTCATTTGTCAGACATCTTCCTACAGTACCTGGTTTTACCCCGACTAGTAGCAAATAATAAGTAGACTTTCCATTATTCAGGGCTCAGGTCCGTATTGTGCTTATTATACTTGGAAATGTCCTGTGTTTTTAGTAGATGTTTCTGTTTCAGTGTTTGTTTGTATAAACATTGCTTCTAAATTTTACAATCGTCGTGAAAGCATCAATACACCATTAGTAGTGACTGATAATTGTTAAATTTTGTTTTTGTCCTCTTTCAGCAATGTGTTCCTTTCAACAGGTGCAGCTTTCGATTTTGGGTTTGAACTGCGTTTAGTATTGCTTTCGACGAACTGGTTCAAAGTACATCTATGATCGATTCTAGTGGTCTCAAAACTTATTTACTTTATTTTCGTACTTTAAATGTTTTTATGTTCGTATGCTCTATTAATTATTACGTGGTAAGATCGTCAATCGCAACACCGACTTATGCGACCTTGGCTCTGTGCCAAACCAATGACGTGTTGATCAGCCAATTCTGATTCCTTATTGGTTTTTCTCGTCTAACCTAGCTGGTTTAGCCCATAACACCATATAACAGCTTCCACTAAATTAATCGTGTATTTCGAACATCCTTGACTTATATACAAACAAACCTGACCACATTATACCGTAAAATAGAAAATGGCAATTATACAAGATCAAGTCGAAAAGTGGCTGTGATCGTAAGAGACTGTAACTAATAAATTGGGAATAACTTAAGAAGAGTAAATCATATAGTGGTAGTCAATAAGTCAAAAGGAAGCATATAATAAGAGGAATATAAATATACGTATAATATAGTTACTTAATAGTTATCCAATAAGAATGTATGTAATAATAGTCCATAAATGATTCTTAGCAGTTACCACTCATTTATTCTTCGTTAGGACATAACAGTTTTTATTATACTTTCAATGGTAAGGTTATTTTAATGAACGTTGAAAAATTGTTAGTAATTTTGAATACATTAAATATATATTTGGGTACTTATCAAAGTTCCCCACTATCTTTTCTGTAATAATCTGTTGTTAAACATTTTAAAATCAAGAGTCACATTAATAACTATTGATTGTAGTTTCATTTGAAACTATACAACTGTTTGTTTTCTGTATAGTTTGAATCATATACTGTTAACATGTTATTTTGTAAATTTCACATACATGTACATGCATCAATTGTTAATCGTTTTTGAGGTAGCTAGAAAATAAAGTACATATTGTAAAGAGAACATGTGCTAATTTACTTTTATTATTACTATTTTCATTACTTTCATTTTATTTAATCATACCATTTATGCTATAGTGAATCAACTAACAATCAATTCCATGTATGTATTCATTGTATAATACTGTTTAACTGTCTAGATTATTCATATTGTCAAAGCCCATTACTAAATGTACTGTGTATAAATTATTTTGAAAATTTACCAACTTCTAAATAAAATTAAGTTATTTTGCACTTGTTACTAACTTTATATGTTTACCTTTAGTTATGCTGACGATCTTAGTGTATGTGCAATATAAAATTATTATTGTTATTATTATTATCATTATTATTGTGTATGTTACCAACTTATTTTACAATAGGAATACAACTTCTCCATTATTTCTTAATGTTGATCCATCGAAAATTTAATTTACCAACATCATTGTACAACAATTATCGCTTGTATTTCAAAAATATTGTCTCAAATCGACATAAACAAAATTTTCCAAATATTCAATGCAGATCTAGTTATTCAGCTAAAGTAAAAAATGCTCACTCAATAATATTATTGGATACGACAAAATGTAATGAGAATAAGGTGATATGTAAAAATGTCAAATTAATTGGATGGGTTCAATCTGTTAGAAAGCATAAATCTTGCGTATTTTGTAATATATCCGATGGTTCTTCACCTTATGATTTGCAAGTAAGGTATAGTTTCTTATTCATTATTTTTCTTATCTCATATTATTCCATTGTCAATTTTTTTGTCTAATTGGTATGCATCAGAACTTATGTCGGATAACGACATAAAGCTAAGTTTCAGATACTTGGTTCTCACTAATGATGTAATCGATTTTCAGTTGTACAGGCATGTGTTCAAACTCCATCTCACACACCAAAATTTGGATACTTGTTTGTCAAGTACGGGTTTATGCAATTAGTTATAGTCTGCATCATTCAGATGATGGCTAGTGATATTATCTTGTTACACAAAATAACGCGGGTGAAGCGTGGTTAGACCATGTAACCCACTAAGTGTGAGTTAATGGCTCTGACCACTAAGCCATTACTTCACTAATGTGCATAACTTGATCCTATCTTTGTTAATACCAACTTTTACATAATATTTATGGTCAAGAGACAGTTTATTAATATAAATACGGTTACCAATTTTTTTAGTAATATTTGTAGCGTTTTCTATCTACATCATATTTCATTTATTTTCGTTTATGTATAAATAGTATAAATTCATCCGCTTGGTAGTTGAGTGAGAACCTTAACCTAAATGTTCATTTAATCTTGACAGATTTTTATTTCATATATTTATCTATGCAGTTTTATTTTACATATTCACTTTTCTTGTACTTATTGTCTATCCAATATTGCATTTCAGGTTGTTATTTTGCCTAGTGAAATTACTGATAAGATAACCGTTGGTTGCGCTTTGTCAGTTGAAGGTGACATCTATCATATTCCGAATATTCTAAAAACATCTCAATTGTCAATTGATAAACCTACTGTTCAGTGTTGTGGTGAATTACGCGCTAAGATTGTTAGTATTTTGGATACTGAGAATCAACTTGGAGAATTACAACCTGAAAAGTCAATTAACAATGCTTCTCTTCCTTTTAACCACAGTGTTCCCACAATAAATCGAGGGATCAGTTCACTCGGTCCTCATAGTCCACGACCTGATTTAGGAGTTTTACGCTCAGTTGAAGCATTATCAATGCGTCATCGACTACCTGAGTTTGGCGCAATGCTTAGAATGCGTGCCCATATTAAGCGAATAGTTAGAAAAGTGATGAGTTCATGTGACTATTTAGAGGTATGTTTTGTGATAAATTAATAATTAATATTTCATTAGTTATCATGTATCAACTTGATTGGTTGAAATATGACACTTCTACGTATTGTTAATCGTTCAGTTGATGCAAAATTGCGTATTGTTGTATACACTAGAACTCATATTGATAAGAGATTCTTTAGGATTCAGTTAATCCAAAGTAAGAAGTAGTCTAGACTTCTAATCCACCACGGTTCACTGACAACACTGGTAAATATTCTAGGCAATCACTTTTCTAAAATTTAATTTTAAAACATATGTATCAAAATTCACTTGGTGTTGCTTGCTTGTATCTTCCCATTGTTGTTTAGGACTGCAATTGATCAGTCTCTTGTGGTATATGTGCATCCTGCGTGGATTGCCTCGATATTGCCTTAAATCACAAGCTTTATAAGCAAAGATGGATAGTGGCTAGCAGTGGAATACATGATGCACGTTTCGTCCTATTTCGAACTCGTCAGCTGTATGTACCTGCATCGCAGAGTTGATGTGTCGTATTTCGAGATCTCTCTTAATTTGTATGCATAAATTTGTAATATGGTAGTGTTGTAGTGGTCTGTATTCGATAAAATCTTTAAACTTCGTAAACAGTTCATCCTGATAACCGTTACTATATAATGTCCCAAACGGTGTATAAATCAGAAGACGAGTGCGAAGTGTTGATCACGTTTATTATTGCACGAAGCACAGATCACCGAAACCACAGCACACGAAACAAGAATGAAAGATTAGTGCCGAAAAGCAAACGAGCGAGTAAGCGTCCGGATTCGCTAGTGAGTTCCAATGAGTAGGATTAAAATATACACGTATATACATAGAGAAATGAGTAAATCATTGAATCAATTAAGCGGCTAACATTAAAGCTAGCAGAATGAATATACATGTAGGCGGTAAGCAATGCTTAAGCATGCATACTCATGCAAGCACAACAATAATGAAGGTACGATGGTATAGATAAGTTGTTATTGTACGAATGACTCTGTCCGTTAAATAAGTTAACAAAAGGACTTAACTCAATTTAAATGTGGACAAACTCAGTTGCATGTGAGTTGCTATGGTATCCTACTACATATTGTTGACTAATCTTTCACCAAATAGGATTATCAATTATTTAAGTATATTTTTTTATTTGGAGTTTTTAACAAGATGGACATCATCTTTGATCTATTTATTCCAGTCTGTTTACTTTTTAGTGTGGAAATATTATGCTAGGAAAATTTATGGTAAAATTTTATACTTCAATTTTAGTTAATTTTACATAATAAGTACAGCTTTTTGTCTATAAATTCTGTCTTAATAGTTTAAATAGTATACGTCTTGAGACACGGCTTTGCGTGTATTGTTTTCACTTATAAAATAAGAAAATGACTAAACGGTTTCATTCAGCCATATATTTTGTTTGATTCTTATCATGAAGCGGTAGTTTGGTTACTAAAGGATTTGGATCTCAACCAATAGGTCCCAGATTCATACCTCAATTCACCTTCTTTGATTAGGGCAGTAGGGTAATGTTGCAATCGCCCATACAAATGGTGTGGCTCAAAATGGAGTACTCGGTCAGTAAGTTGATCATCATAATAAATGCAACTTATCATGTCCCGGTACATGTTTACAATTCCTGGGTTGTGTGAAGAAAATATACTATTATGGAAAAGTATATAGATGATATATGACTTTACGAATCTATTCATCTCGGCTGTAAAATTTTCTTTATCAATGAAATCAGTTTCTTGAAGAACCTGACTAACTAGGTTAGTTGAAAATCTTCAGTCTATGAAGCCTTATCGCGTTGCGTTATTACTCCTACTACAACTAATGTTTCCAATCAAAATAATATTGAATATGTTCAATGTACTTTTGTTTGTAAATAAAAGGTATGTATCATCGAAGGTTGAAATATATCAAAAATGTTTTACATTGAAGGCTATTATTGTATGATAGTAATAATAATAATATCAATAATAATAATAATAATCTATGAAGCTGTTAAACTGAACTTGGAACAGAAAATATTAAAAAGATATTTAGATAGAAATGATTTACATTTTTCTTGCTAAGTTGATAAATCATACAATCAGGTTTCACGCTTTCTTTCATCAATGGGGGTGTACGGATATTGAATGAGGTCAACATGTGTTGATTGAAATATGTAGGTACAGTAAAATAAGCTTGTTCACCACACGACAACATGCCCAGTGCTATTTGGCCCAAACATCATCGCGTTATCCATTTATCTAGGAAGAAACTCGTATCCCGGATCCCGCTGCTAGCCACCATCGATCTCTAATTATAATTACCTACTTCCTTACTTAACTTCGCTTGTAGCTCTTCTTGAGTTACTGCCGGTCTCAAGCCCGGATAATGGAGGAGGGTTGGGCATGGGGTTAGCCACTCCATCCCGTAGAAAAACTAACTTGCTAAAAGACGCTAACCAGAAAAAATAATTAAAACCATTTAAACTCTCCTAGGAATTGAAAGAAGAATTATGACGCCTCATGATGATAGCCGAGATTTTTCGGAAGTCTCAAGGCCGATGCCCCTTCTAACAACCAGAGCAACACTCTCTATAGGTACATGGAACGTCTGGACAATGTGGGAGACCGGAAAGACCAGTCAAATAGCAATGGAAGTGAGGAGATACAAATTGGCAGTACTTGGAATCAGCAAAACCCATTGGACACAAGCTTGACAGCGAAGGCTAGATACAGGAGAGGTGCTGCTGCACTCGGTCACGAAGGGGAAAATGCTCCACACGCTCAGGGAGTTGCTCTAATGCTGTCCAGAGTAGCACGAAATGCCCTTGTAGGATGGAAATCTCATGGATCCAGAATTATCAAAGCATCATTCAAAACAAAGAAGGAGGGGATCACAATGAATATTATCCAATGTTATGCACCCACCAATGATAGCAACGACGACGACAAAGATCTGTTCTACTCGAGGCAGCAATCAATCATAGCTAAGTGCTCAAGAAAGGACCTCACCATCCTAGTGAGAGCTCTAAACGCTAAGGTGTGAGTGGACAACACAAGATATGAAGATATAATGAAATGACATGGACTAGGAGAGAGAAATTAAGAATGTAGAGAGATTTGCAAATCTATATGCATTCAACAAATTGATTATAGACGGCACAGTTTTTCCACATAAACGCACACAAGGCTACATGGATTTCTCCGGACCACACCACAGAGAACCAGATAGATCATATTTGTATCAACAAAAATCAGAAGGACAATGTAAGATGTAAGAACCAGGAGAGGAGCTGATATAGCTTCAGATCACCATGAACTGGTGGTTGCCAAGATGAAAATGAAGCTAAAAAAAACACTTGAAAACTGGGGGAACAACATTACAAAGGTTAAATGCAGCCTTCCTTCGAGATACGAACTCAACCAATTCAAGATAACTCTCAACAACAGGTTTCAAGCTTTACGGAATCTACTGAAAGAACAAGAAAGTACGATGGAGGACAACTGGAAAAAGGGTTCAAGGAAGTGGTAACTTCAACGTGTTAAGAGGTTCTGGGCCGCAAAATGCATCATCATAAGGAATAAATCTCTATGGGAACCCTTGCCCCTAAATGTACTGGTGCAGCTGAGAGTGGAGAAAGTCCGCTCTCTCTCTCGAAATGCTTTCACATGGCCACGCGTATATAGCCTCTGCCAGGGAAGTCCTACTCACTGCTTTCTCGTGGCGGGGTTGTTGTTTACGAAATTGAGAGGACGAAAAGCGAATGTCCGGGGCTTTAACCAGGTTAGTAGACACGGAGGATTCACCTAGGGGAGTTGGAAAACACTGATTCCAAACAAATGGTGCACATGGACTCCAGTATTCTGATGGAATAAATGGCGTATGAATCAATCGTTGGTCATCGGTTACCATGAGACTGCATCTCCTTACCATGCTCCACTGCCTTGTGGATCAGATCTTTAGGTCAAAGGCTTCGGTTGTCGCCCCCTAAGAAAACCACCTGCTTCATTTCGGGCACCTGGGCAGTATCACAGCCCTCACACAAATCGAATGAGATTTGTGTGGCACATATGTATCTGGTGCCCCTTTGTACCAATATTTATGTGTTCAAATAAATATATCTGGTGCCCTCCCTGGACAAGATTGAAGAAAGGAAGAACAAATGGACAGCAATCAACAACAGTCGAACACGAACAGAGAAAGTCAAGGCGCAAGCAGAGTACGCAGAGGCAAACAAGGAACTGAAGAAAAGCATTAAAGCGGTCAAGCATAAATGCATGGGAAAACTAGCAACAGCGGAAAAAGCTTCGGGAGAAGGAAATATCAAACAACTATATGGTACAACGAAGAAACTAGCAGAGAGATTTCAAGATTGCCATCAGACAAATCAAGAGCGGGAAAGCGGCGGAACCTGACAATATACTAGCTGAAGCTTTGAGATCGGACATTGAAGTAAGTGCAAACATGCTTCACCTTCTATTCAGGAAGATTTGGGATGAGGAACAAGTGCCGATGGACTGGAAACAAGGATACCGAAGAAAGGAGATCTGAGCAAATGCGAGAATCACAGAGGCATCATTTTGTTGTCAGTACCAGGAAAAGTTTTCAACCGAGTATTGCTGAACCGGATGAAAGACGCAGTAGACGCCCAACTTCGAGATCAACAAAGGAAAAGGCAATATTCTCAAATACATCATGGAGAACACCAACCCAATCACACTTGATGGCGAAACTCTGGAAGAGGTGGAAACATTCACGTACCTGGGAAGCATCGTTGATAAACAAGGAGGATCGGATGCAGATGTAAAGGCGAGGATTGGCAAAGCAAGGGCAGCATTTCTACAATTGAAACGGAACTCAAAACACCTGTCAAATAACTTCAAAATGAGAATCTTCAATACGAACGTCAAGACAGTCCTACTGTATGGAGCTAAGACGTGTTCCCTGGCCTTCCTCTTTCACTTTGACTTTCAGGATTCCATGTGAGGGCCTGCCCTGTGACTCGGCTG